CATCACCAGTGTGTGAATGTGTGTGTGACTGGATATGTAAAGCGCTTTGGGGTCCTTAGGGACTAGTAAAGCGCTATATAAATACAGGCCATTTACCATATAACTTCTGTTCTTGTTTCTCTCCATAATCACTCTTGTGTCCTGCACCACCCATCCCCTTTTAACATGTCCATCCATCATCCTTTTCTGCATCAGTCTGTTCATTTACTCTGTATATCCCTCATCATCTTCTTCACTGCTGGTTTCATGTGTCAGACACAGTTGAACTTTATACTTCAATAAAAAGTCTGCTTTTTCAACTGGCCTCAGGGGTGTCAGAATCAATTTTTCACTTTTCTAATGTACTGCTCTATGTATGTCTACAAAGAGCTGGTCTAGCTAGGCCATAGCTGTGCATCAAGCTGGTTACAGTGTTGTGTGCCACAGTGTTTGTGAATGCAGTAACAGAAGTTCTAAAAGTACAGTACATTAGTATAAGATTAATTTGGTTAGCTGGTTTTTCAATTACTTGACTCTCCTCCTGTGTTCAATCTGATTTAAAAGATATACTTCCTTGCTTAAAGGCATTATACAGGCTGTCTAGTTCTCAATAAGTGGGTGTTTCCTCCTCTGTCAGCCTCTGGTTTGACCCCGACATTAATGGACTGTGTCTGAGGACCTGTAGGGCAGCCAGAGATGATGTACATCCTCTTCTGTGGTTTGTCTAACACACACACGCACGCACACACACGCACACGCAAACACACACGCACACACACACACAGAGTTTTGCTTTTATTTATTGGTCTCCGTTGCTGTGGCTCACCTGTCTGTTTCTATGATGTCTAATCGTGGCATTGCATTTCTACTTCATATTTTTTTATCACCAAAGCTAGTCAGTAAGTCCCGTGACCTTGGTCTGTAAGCAGTCTGCCTGCTGCCTCTCAGACACCTTTTCTGGAGGAACTATATTAAAATAAAGAGGACTGGTGTTTCCTTAGTTTATCAAATAGGAAAAGACCATATGTTTTATTAAATGCATGTAAACATACACTGTGTTGCCAAAAGTATTCACTCATCACACCAAATCATTGAATTCAGGTGTTCCAGTCACTTCCATGTCCACAGGTGTACAAAATCAAGCAGCCAGGCATGGAGACGCTTCTGGGTTTGCTCTCAGGAGATCAGTTAATTCCAGCGTGGTACTGTGATAGGATGCCACCTGTGAAACAAGTCCAGTTGTGGAATTTCCTTTCTACTAAATATTCCACAGCCAAGTGTTAGTGATATTATAAAAAAGTGGAAGTGAGTGAGAACGAGAGTAAATGAGCCACAAAGTGATAGGTCATGGAAGATCAGAGAGCAGGGTCAGTGGAAGATGAGGCACATAGTTTGAAAAATTTCAGAACTCAAACAAATTCACGTTTTTGACCATGTCATGCTCCCAGCTTTGTTAGAACAGTTTGGGGATCGCCCAGTACTGTTCCAACATGCCAGGACACATGTGCACAAAGACACGGATGAGCAAGTTTGGTGTGGAAAAACTTGACTGGCCTGCGCCAACCTGATAGAACATCTTTGGAAGGAGTTAGAGTGGCGGCTGTGAGACAGGCCTTCCCGTCAATCAGTGTCTGACCTCAAATGTGGTTTTGGAAGAATGATCAAAAATACCCATAAACAGACTCCTAAACCTTGTGGAAATCCTCCCCAGAAGCGTTAAAGCTATTCTATCTGCAAAGGGTGGTCTGACAACATATTAAACTCTATGAATTAAGAGTGGGATGTCACTTAAGCCCATTGTATGTGAAGGCAGACAGCAAGCATCCAATGCTCAGCTCGACTGGTTTGGTCAAATGTAATACCATGTAGAGCATCTGCAAGAATTGCCATGTGCTATAGCAAACTCCTGGGTGTGGAGTCAACAAGTTGTATCATTGCATCTCTTAACAGAATGAATTTCCCTCTTTTCTTTGTTTTTCAGAGATCTAAGTGAAAATGCCATCCAAGCCATTCCGAGGAGAGCTTTCAGAGGCGCAACAGACCTTAAAAACCTGTAAGTGAAGATAAAGTGTTAAAGGAATGGGTGCAGTGGAGATAACGGTGCAATTTACTACTGTCAAGAAATATCACGTCCGTAATTAGAAGACTGAGTGGTTGGCTGGACCGAGCCATTAACTAAATCTACATCATATTGGCTTTGTGTTCTTTTTATTATCAGTCAGCTGGATAAAAACCATATCAGCTGTATTGAAGAGGGGGCATTCAGAGCTTTGCGATCTCTAGAAGTCCTGTGAGTAATCTAAGAAAAATAATTTCTTTGATGCTCTTCTCAAAACAATTTAATCTCTCATTAAAAAAACTTTGTTTTCTTCTGCTCTCTTCATCTTTTCTACTGCCATCATTTTTCCACTGGCTTCCGTGCCTATCTCTTGCTTTTTATTGTTCCATCTCTTTGTTCTCACACCCTTCCTTTCTGTCCTTGCTGTTATATTTAGTGTTGCCTCTTCTTCTCATCATTGCTAATTTCTCTCCTATTTTTTCTTCTAGCACACTGAACAACAACAACATCAGCAGCATTCCAGTCTCCAGTTTCAATCACATGCCAAAGCTCCGCACCTTGTAAGTGCCTCACCTTTTTCAACTTTTTTACCCAGAATGCCACATTGTTAAGTCTGATTTCATCTCTGTCTGTGTATCTGTCACCTTATGTTTTACCCACCCCTCCACTACTTCTCAAATGTATTTTCCTTCCCTCAGTCGTCTCCACTCTAACTCTCTGCGCTGCGACTGTCACCTGGCTTGGTTGTCTCCATGGCTACGGCAGCGGCCAGCTTTGGGCCTCTACACTCAGTGTAGCTCTCCTCCCACACTGAGGGGCCTCAACCTGGCCGAGCTGCGTAAAAGTGACTTTGCCTGCTCAGGTACAAGAGCCTGGCGATACATGAGGCTTTGATCCAAATGTGGATGATGATGCAATGTGTGAGAAATTTTTTTCTTCCTTGTTTTTAGGTCACAGTGGCAGTGCCTTCGTTCAGCCATGTAGTTTAGCATCTGGGTCCTGTCCTCCAATGTGCTCCTGCAGCAACAACATTGTGGACTGCCGTGGGAGGGGCCTAACTGCAATCCCTGCCCACCTCCCTGAGGGTATGACTGAGATGTGAGTATCCCACAAGAATTATATATAATGATACAAGAATGACAAATTCTGTTATTTTGTAGCTTTATAGTTTGCTTTCAGAACTCAGATAAAACCTACCAGCATAAAGTGGGTTTCTTACAAGCAAAATTGTGAACCATGTAAAGCTGCTCCAGAGGGGTCCCAAAAGAGAGTGAAAGTCCCCACAGGTTTATTAGATGGAAAGAAATACTACAGTACATGTACTTACTCTGTGCCATGTAAAGGAAGAAATGTTAATTATGTCATTTTGCTGCTTCATCACATTCTTTCTGGTTACTTTTAATATATCCAACATGGAAAAGTGGTTTTTTGGATGCTTAACCACACTCTCTCTCAATTCTGCTGCTCCTCTGCCAGTAGCTAGAATGCAGTAGCGTAACAAGCACAGCTGGCGATAACTTGGACAAATCTTATAGATAGATTTTACAGGCCATTACATGTACTTTACGTCTCTGCCAATACATCAAATGTTCTGATGTGCAATCCACCATTCAAGGATGTGATTGTCCTCACTGCTCGTGTGCAGTGTTTCAATGTAGCCTCTCTGCTTTTCTACCCAGACGTCTGGAGCAGAATGGCATCAAGTCGGTTCCCCCAGGCGCCTTCACATCCTACAAGAAGCTCAGGCGAATGTGAGTGCTCCTACAAAGCTTTATATCGTCATACTTGCAGTTAAACACTTCCAAGTGTCAGTTCAAATTGAAATAACACTAGCAATGCTTTCTATTGAAATTTAAATGTTTATTACAACAAATCAATAAAGGACTAAGATCACGGAGGGGATCAATAAGGGATCAATTAAAAGAAGCCTTTTCTATATATTTTAAATCTGTCCTGGGATGCCGACTGCCATCGAAAAGGTGATAAATGGATGGAAATTCATTGAAGAAACACACTGTCGACTATGTACTTTTTGCTGTGTTCTTGGCGTTGAGGACTTTAATATGAGGCAAATCAAACCAGCTCTACTGGCCTCATACTGGTTTTAATGTGGTAAAATGTCAATAATGGACTGGTTCTGGTAATAAGATTAAATACGCTCACTGGGCACTGAGAGCACTTTTTAAAATACAAATCACATTCACCCACTCACACAGGCATTTAGTGTTTTGTTTTGTTGCCTTGATTTTTCTAACACATGTACACACTATCAGTCAAAAGTTTTAGAACACCCCAATTTTTACTGTTTTTTATTGAAAATTATACAGTTTAATGTCTCATTGCACTCTGAAATGAAAGTACAAATAAGCAAAGTTAAAAAAGAACAGCTTCCATTTATGTTCCTTTTATGTTTGTTAACTCCTGTTCTGTATGGACAGCTAGATGCTGAAGTATGATAACTGTAACACTTGCAGTCATTCCAGTGTTGTTCCAAAAAAAAAATACAAAATAAAAACACCGGCCCACTTTAACCCCTGACTATGGCACACGGTGTTGCCTCTTTGATGTTTTTTTATGCCACTTTCCCTGGTGATTAATACACAAACGAGACTGAGATTCTGTGTTACTGTTTAGGCTCAAACAGGTTTGATGTTTTAAGACTCGCAGTGACATGAAGTAATGACTCCCCTCAAATATGTCAAAGTAATGAGTCTGTTTTCAAAATGTAAGGAGTAGAAAGTACAGATACCTGAAAATTTGACTTACAGTACAGTAATAAAGTATTTGTACTTTGTCACTTCCCACTGCTGATCAGCCATTGGCCCCCTCCTAAACCATACCTGCACACACATGACCCATTTTAGTCCACTTCATTTAACTTTTTTTTGCTCCACCTTTCTTTGTGCAGAGTACTTTTAAAGTCAGCTATGCCAACTGCAGCAGGCTACAGAATACCTGCCCCTGAGCTCCAAATCAGCCAAAGCCATTACATTTTTTCTGCCTCCAGAGGGACAATGCTTCAGGGAAAATTTTAATGTTCTAGAGTCTGATTTGCCAAGTGGATCTCTCTTTTCTTCTGTCTCCACTGCTCACTGAGCTGTGCTTTTCCTGCTCAACAGAACATACAGCCCCAGTGGAGTTTCAGCATCGAGGAGCATTTGATTTATATCAGCCTGCAAAGACACAGAGTCCTCATTAGAGGCTTTTTAGGGCCCTTACATAATAAATCAAGTGCATATCCATGTGATGTGATGTATATGTTTAAAAAATGCTAATCTGACCACAATAATAATGTTCCTGGCTTCTTGACCTTCTATCCTGTTTCACATTTCTTTCTTTCTTCTGTCTTTGCGGTTTTTGTTACTTCCACTGTTGCTGTTTTTCTCTTCTTCCTTTGCCCATTTCCCTCCTCAGGCATTCTGTCTCTCTCCATCTTTTTCTCTCTGTGGTTTTCCTTTTCCTCTTAATCTTATCCTCTTTCCCCTCCTTTGCCCTCTTCCATCATCACTGCGAGACCATCCCGAGCACCAGGAGGGAGGGAGGGGGGTTTGATTACATTACCAGGCTGGTTTAAGTGGTTTGTCTGAAAATTTATCATGACAACTGAACGACTGACGTGTGGCAGCAGAACAAGGATTTTATAATCTAACATATTATGGTTTGGCATGCCAGACCGAATCAAAGATATAAAAACTTCAACTTGGCCAGAAAAATAGCTCCTCTGTTCTGACATGACAAAAGTGAAGCTCTTAGCCAGTCAATTCAGAAAGTGAGGTTTCTTATTTTTATAGGGGATTTTTATATAACCTGCTTTCATTTCGAGATCAGAAAAGAGAACTGTTAAAGTGCTGCATCACTTTTTTGCCTTTAATCCTTTAAAAAATAACACAAATTATTTGCTATGTACATATGATGCTTTTGGCTAAATGCGTTTACAACAAAACAAAATCTGTATACATGAGTTTTTTCATTTTCTCCCCAAAATAAATCTAATCACTAAGTATTTAAAAGTGTTGGGCATTCATTGTCTTTCATTCCCAGTGACCTGAGCAACAACCAGATATCTGAGATCGCTCCTGATGCTTTCCATGGCCTCCGAGCTCTCAATTCACTGTGAGTAAGCACTCTGCATCTGATTGTGTAAACTGTTGGGTGTGTTGAGAGTGTCTTTACCAACACGTGTTTACATGTGTCTGTCCACTTTATTGGCTATATCTCCATATGTGCCCACTGCGTCCATGTGTTTAAGCATCTGTTGGTATGAATAATTTAAAAGTGGCGCCTGCTCACTGTACAGAGAATTCTCAGGAAACATCAGGACATGCAAACAATCACAGCAGGCCAGCATCATTGCTGAGTGTGTGTATGTGTGAATATGTTTGCGTGCATATACTATACACGACAGCAGTGTGATGTAAATGTCTTCTCTTCTGTTTATGGACTGTGAACCTGTGCTTGTGTGGACTGAATAAGACTTACTTTTGTTTTGGTGATGCAAATTTTGGAGCGATCGTGGCTCAAGAGTTGGCAGTTCGTCTTGTAACCGGAAGGTTGCCGGTTCGAGCCCCGGCTCGGACCGTCTCGGTCGTTGTGTCCTTGGGCAAGACACTTCACCTGGTGACGGCCAGAGGGGCCGATGGCGCAATATGGCAGCCTCGCCTCTGTCAGTCTGCCCCAGGGCAACTGTGGCTACAACTGTAGCTTGCCTCTACCAGTGTGTGAATGTGAGAGTGAATGAATAGTGGAATTGTAAAGTGCTTTGAGGGCCCCGAAAAGCGCTATATAAATGCAATCAATTATTATTATAAAATTTTGCGTCTTAGTAACTGTTCACAGACTGATGAAGCACTTTTGATTGCAGAACACAGTTAAAGACTTTGTTTGCTTGTGTGCAGAGTTCTGTATGGCAATAAGATCACTGAGCTGCCCAGCGGAGTGTTCGATGGTCTGGGGTCTCTGGAGTTGCTGTAAGTCCAACCACAACATGCATATATTTGTCTGAACTGAGGTGGAGCTCAGTACGATGACTGAATAATCTGGCAGTTGTCATCTTTCCTGAACATTATTTCATTTTTTTAAAATTTAGTAAGTATTTGAAGATTCCTTGTGGTAATGTTTAACTCTAAACCGCTGGAACCAGTGACAAAAAGGAAATGGAGAGGAATCTGAAAGTTAGGGACAGACTAATCCTCATCCTGGAGACATATGAATAGACTTCAATGTAGGTTTTTGGAAAAAAAAATAGCAGTTAGTCATTTTGTAATTGTACATGTGTGCATTTTTATCCATGACACTCACAAGAACAACAAAGAAGTTTTAAGGAGTTTTACCTGTGGTTGTACTATTGGTTGTTTTACGCACACATCCTTTATACATCAGGCTCCTGGTGTAATTTAAAATACCTCCCTCCTTGTTTGGTTTCTTATTTTGGAAAAATCAGGGCTCCAATTCTGGGCATAAAACACAAAATAGCATTGCAGCAGTTTTGTTTTTAAAATAAGAGACGTTTGCAAGTATTCAGATGCTGGTGATGAATCAGCTCATCATGATTATGTACACTACTATAGAAAAGTCTTGTTAAGCCACTAAGCCCCAAACTCACCTATGAGTCATAGAAGCATAAACAGGTACCTAATTCCAGGGATGAACCAGTGTTGCATCTACACATACCACAACTTAGAAAGTAACCTGTTTTAAAATTGTATCTTTAGACACTTTGTTACTAAAGTGTAAATTGATGGATTTATTTATAGGGCTTTTGTACCCAGGCACTCAAAACACCTTATACAACTCCATCACCTGTTCACACACATTCAACAATCACTTTTTTTTCTAGCTCTAAGTGCTATCTAACATTCACACTCCATCGAGCTAATCAGGAACACCTGGGGGTTGTCTATCTTGCCCAAGGATACTTTGGCAAGCAAACTGGAGCAGCAACTTTTCAATTTTTAGTCGACCTGCTCTATCTCCTGAGCCTCAGCCAACCACAAGCAGCCTGTTACAGGCATCTTTTGCAGGCCTAACAAGGTGATTCCTAGATAGCTATTAGGTGTTAACTTGGCAGATATTAACATAATGTGCAGCTTGTTGTTTGAGACCTTGAAGAAACTGAACAAGTGGAGGACAAAAGAAGAAGTGGTTGGCCTGAAAAACTATCTCCAGCAAATGAAGAGTTTGTGAAAATCATGTCCTTAATAGTAAAAAGAAAAAAGGCTCACTATCAGGCAAAACATAGAAAAAGGGTGGCTCAAGACTTGCACAGAACTGCATGTTAGATGATTTATTCAGAGTATTTTGTTATGATAATTAAGTGTGTCTACTGTATTGCTTAAGGTTGCTGAATGCAAATAAAATCCACTGCATCCGAGCCAACGTGTTTAAAGATCTGGAGAACCTGGCTCTTCTGTCGCTGTACGACAACAAGATCCAGAGTTTGGCCAAAGGCACCTTCAGCTCGCTGCGCAGCATCCAGACACTGTGAGAAAATACATGCGTGCTATTTCAAGTTCTGTTACACTCTATTCAGTCTGATCTGACTGATGTTGTTCCCTTTTGTAATTTCTCACCAGACACTTGGCCCAGAATCCCTTTGTGTGTGACTGTAATGTGAAGTGGCTGGCCGACTTCCTGCGTTCAAACCCCATAGAGACCAGCGGTGCACGCTGTGCCAGTCCTCGCCGCCTTGCCAACAAACGCATCGCACAGATCAAGAGCAACAAGTTCAGATGCTCTGGTCAGTCAGTGCCCTCTGTGTGTGTGCGTGCGTGTGTGGGTGTGTGACTGGATGACAAAGATGGAACTGAGACGAGGAGTGAAAAGTCTGGATATATTTGCTGCATCTGATAGTTTAAGACTGCCAGGCCTGGAAAGCTAAGCGCAGCTTTGCATTGTTTCAGTCCTCCTTTCTGCTGTAAGTGTCCTGCTGCCACCTACAGCCAAGTCAATTATGTGACGTGTGTATGTGTGTGTATGTGTGTGTGTGTGTGTGGCTATTGCTCTGTTGAAGCGTTCACACATTTCAACTGACAGTTTTGTTTGCTTACTTTTCATGACAGCCAAGGAGCAGTACCACATCCCAGGTGATTTTGTGTTTGTATATTCATATATATTCTGTGTATGTGTGTAGTTAGATACATCAGTCTCTGATTGCCTCTATGTATCAGTAAGAACTTGTCTGTCTATCCTCTCCACATTTGGGTCCAGGCACTGAAGACAGACGTCTAAACTACGAGTGTAACAGTAAGCCAGTGTGTCCCGCTAAATGTCGCTGTGAAGCCAATGTGGTCGACTGCTCCAACCTCCGCCTCACTAAGTTCCCGGAGCACCTGCCATCCTCCACTGAAGAGCTGTGAGACCCATGCCCACAAACACACAACCCACGTTAATAATATTCCATGCAGTCCTGGATTGTATATGCCAAACAGACTTTGCTGCAAATGTTCCAGTGCAAGAGGGCTTTTAAAAACAAAAGTATTATTTACCTTTGACCTTATTTTTGACCTTATTCCCTTTTACTCTTTACATCCACCAACCAAAAGAAGCACACAGCTAATTCACCTTCACACCCTGTCATTAACGGTGTGGACGGGAGTGCCTGTTAGTGCACCAGCCTACTGCCACTGACAGGCGAATGCTTCCATCTCCACAGTAACAAGCCTATACAGTAATAGTTGGTGGGCGTAGTTATTTTTTAAATAAAATACTTGCTATGTGAACCTGCTTTTATACAACATGGTTTAATGATTTTTTAAAATGTTTTTTAATCAGCCAGGTCATGATTTTTGAATGAATGAATATTGCTGCTGATGTTTTTTTCAAATGTCTTCTTTTGTACCATAAGGTCATCTAGTCACATTCTATTTAAAAGACGTGGATATCACTACAGACGATCTTTATAACTGGGAAACTCAAACACTCCAGATGGACAAATAGCACTTTGTTCCCAAGGAGAAAAACATGTGGTTTTTGATTTTGGGGTCAACCGTCCCTTTGAGCATTACATTGATGATGATGATGATGATGATGATGATGATGATGAAATTTGTCTTTCCGCTGTATTAGTCAGCTGTCACTTAATTTATCTGGAATAAGCTTATATTTAAAGTGCATTTTAGTTTGGGATCATTTAGGATTCATTGTTCTCTATTTACCCTCATATAGTCACACCCACACAAATTCAAATACATGCTCATTCCCTGTACTGAACATAAAAACACACACTGTGCCAAACTATGACTTGGATATCCGTGTTGACATGTGTATGTGGATTCCTGCTGCACGGATGAGCACTCAGCACGAAACATGCACACATACCAAAGTCACTCTTCCCCTTGTGATGTTGTTTTCCTCCATCCTCTTCTCTGTGATCTCTCTCTATGATTGTCGCAGGCGTCTCAACAACAATGACCTCTCCGTGCTGGAGGCCACAGGAGCCTTCAAGGGCCTGTCACAGCTTAAGAAAATGTAGGTCACCATGAAAAATGACAAATACTGTGACGAATGGCTGCTCCATCTTCAAAAGAAACTTTCAAGAGATCTTATCTTCTGGCATTTTCCAAGACCTTAGTGGGAAAAGGGGTTCAGAGAAAACTGTATGTAGTGACTTTGCATGACTGGATATTATTAGAGAAAATGCACAGCTTCAAGTAGAGTGAAAACACTGGACACATTTTCAAAGTAGTAAAGGTACTAAAAGTTGTGTGAAACTTTTAAGGCTGAATGATCATGCTCAGTTGGGTTTCTGGCAATGCTGTGAATCTGAAAGAGCTGTCAGGAAGCAGCTGTTATGTTGTGTGTTATCCTTCTCACTTCAGTAACCTGAGCAACAACAAGATTTCAGAGATTGAGGACGGCGCATTTGAGGGCGCTTCCTCGGTGGTGGAGCTTCACCTGACAGCCAACCACCTGGAATCTGTGAGAGGGAGCATGTTCAAAGGCATGGAGGGCATGCGCATGCTGTGAGTTTGATACATACATAGAATTAGGTCACTGTGTATACTAAGCTCTCAGCTTTATTTTTAGGGGTTCAACAGTTCAGAAAGTTGCATCAGCTTTGAGAATAACAACAACTCTACTGTGCAGTCCTATTTTCAGGGGCTCAAACATAGCTGGACAATTAAAGAAAAGACTGTTTCACAGACAGGTGTAGTCTTTAGCTTTTGTTATTTCTCCGTGAATTGAGCATGAAATTCAAAGTCTGGCAATCGCTGTTGCTGTGAACTCACAATCTGAGCTCAACAGTGATTTCAGTCGCAGTGAAATGGGCCATCTTCAGGCTTTAAAAACAAGCCAGAAACATCAGAGGGACAGAAGAAGTTTATGAGTGGCCAAATCAACAGCTTGGTGCACTGAAGGGGGAAAAAGTTAAGAACAGAAACATAAAAAGCAAGAAGAAGCGGCTGAGTTGATCTTAACCCAAAGGAGCTGCATTTACCTTGCTGAAGATAAAACTAAAGGATGAAAGCCAAAGCTCATATTATTTATCTTATGAATATGAAATATCATATTTGAGGGAACTTTGCATAAAACATGTCTGTCCTAAAATGTCTCTCTCGCTGTGTAGGATGCTCAGGAATAATAAGATTAGCTGTATCCATAACGGGAGCTTCACTGGGCTGACCAACGTCAGGCTGCTCTCCCTGTATGATAACCAGCTGAGCACCATCCTCCCTGGAGCCTTCGACACACTGCCCAACCTGTCCACACTGTTAGTAACACACCCACAAATACGTGCAGACACACTCTCTGTTTGTTTCCATTTATCTTACCTACTTACCATGTCGGCTTGCCCATCAGAAACCTTCTGGCCAATCCTTTTAAATGTGACTGCCGTCTGTCCTGGTTTGGGGCGTGGCTTAGAAGTCGGCGAATCGTGACAGGGAATCCTCGCTGTCAGGGGCCCGCTTTTCTTCGAGAAATCCCACTGCAGGATGTAGCTGTGCCTGATTTCCGTTGTGAGGATGGTATGATTGGCATTTTATCTATAAGCAGAAATCTAATAAGTGTAACAAGCATCGCCTAAAAATGCATGACAGCAAAGTTGTCACGCCTTGCAATTTTTTTCTGAGAAGCACTGCCATTGAAAGGTTGTTGTTTGCTAAGTGAAATTTGCCCCCCTGTCTGTTCAGGCGCTGTGCTCGAGGACAGCAGCTGTGGTCCGGGGCCTCAGTGTCCCAGCCAGTGCACCTGTATGGACACAGTTGTGCGCTGCAGCAACAAACATCTGCAGGCTCTGCCTAGAGGACTGCCCCGCAACGTCACTGAATTGTGAGTCTGACTGCACGGCCAAGACAAAAAATGTTATTTCTTAATTTGCTTTGAACATTTAAACTGCAAAACTCACTAAAATTGGCATGCATCGCAATTCTATATTAAATAAAATATAGAATAATTAAAAACAGCCATAGTAAATAATGCAGTCTTGCCAGCTTCTGTGTTGGCCCTAAACTGGCTCGTTCAAGTTTAAACAAAGGAAATGAGCTTCATTTTTTCAGTGCAGATAAATTGGAGACGTAATTGATTCTACTTAATAGAGTCACAGATTTATAGTGTAAAACAGGCATATACAAAACATTTATGTGAATTATCTGTGGTATCACTGTTTTTTTGTAGTAACCAGGCTTTTTATAGCAATTGTGGTTTTCTTATTATTAAGTGTCTCCCTGAAATTAACTAAATTCATTGAGCCAGAAAAAAATCAGGAACCTTGTGACTTTGTAATTATGTCAAAATTACTCATGTATTTGCATGGACGTTATTTACCAAACAGGCTTTTTTGCAGATGTTGAAGTATGTGAGGGCTCCTAAACAAAAGTTTTATTTAGCCTTGACTTTATTTGACCTTATTCCCTTTTACTGTTTACATCTACCAACCAAAAGAAGGTTGTCAAACACAAGGCTCAGAGGCCAGAAGTGGCCCGGCAAAGACTCCAGTCCACTGGATGACATTGGAAACTGTGAAGGAGGACGTAAACTTTGGAATTTTCAAAACCTGTTTTACAGCTGTTCCTACTGATAAAAACCTCACACATGCCAATACATACTACATCAAATTATTTAAGTAATCAATAAATAAACCATTAGAAAACATCCTGTTTTCTCAGTCTAGAATAGAAATGTCTGTTTTTTACAAAGGGTCGTTAATGCATAGTTAAGCGAGCTTCTTTGGTCTGGCTCACTGAAGATCGAAGTGTGGCCTGTGAGTTTGACATCCTTAACTTAGAACCTTATCTTAGAATTTGTTTGATAATCTCTGTGCATTATTATTGTTCTGTAGAAATGCACAACAGATCTTTGTCTTTTGTCCCCTCAGGTATCTGGATGGTAACCAGTTCACCAGCGTTCCCAAAGAGTTACCTGCTTTTAAATACCTGCAGCTTGTGTAAGAAACCCTTGACTGAATCCTTCATTCACCCTCACATGCCTCCTCACACTCAGTTTACCTACAGCTACATCTGCTACCACACATGCTTACAGCCTCTCATGTTGGTAGTGAAAGCACTTTTCTTCTCTTCCACCAATGAAAACATCTACTACAGTGAAGAGGTTAATGCAGTAATATACAGTCATGCTGACGCACAAACTCTTGCTATTTTCTTCTTTGCTGTGGAACATTACATTCTAGGCGAAGCACTGAGGTTTAGATAGTGACCAGTGAACAGCCGAAGACTCGTACCTCATTTTTAAAAACAAAGGACGGTCAAAGATTCTCCACACACAGACTGAGGCACATTTTAGACCAGGTAACTAAATGATCCTGACAGTCACACACTGCTAGAAATGCAGCTGAAATCAGAAGCCAAAAAGAAGAAGTAAAAGTAACACTGGTTGCAGAGCAGAACCAAATATGAATTAAATTGTTTTTACAATTTTTTAAAAAGTTTTATGAAGAACATGTGACACTAATATCAATACCTTCAAAGTAAATTTGAGAATAAGGTTGCACATTTTGTATGTTTGAACACTTGTGCAGTTGTTACAAAAAAAGCTGCAGACAAACTCAGTGCTCAGCATCTTCTATTTGTATAATCATCCAGCAGGTGGCGCTGTAGACTGTGTAGTGAATTCAGTAAAACACGCACACAGCTGAGGATGATGTGATCGGTTCACTTTAATAATGAGCAGCATTTTAGTTTTGTGTGTTACTATGTTACAGTACGTGTGCTAGTGTGTTTGTGTCTGTATGTGTTGTGCAGTGGGACCTCTGCAGTACTCTGTGTGTATACTGACTGAAACTGACCTTTGCCTTTCCAGTGATCTGAGCAACAATAAAATCAACTCCCTGTCTGATGATTCCTTCTCCAACATGAGCCAGCTCACCACACTGTGAGTTCATACACACAACTGTTCTTGGTCAAGTGTTACAAGACAAATCAGCACACACACAATGGGCATCAGAAAGATGTCAGTTCACTAAATCACTGCTGTTACAAAACAGAATGCTGAAAAAATGAATCACTTTGAGAAAAATATTAGCTTATTTTAAATTTGATGGCAGCAATAAATCTGTTTATTACTGTGCAGCGTCCGGTCTGTCTGTAAACATGTGGAAACTGAGGAGAGCAGCTGCTGGACTTCTGGGAAAGTTGCCATTTTTGTAGCTGTGATCACTGTCATATTGGGTTTCATGATGCTCCAAATGTCTTTTCCCTTTGTTAAACATGTGGACTGCCAGTTCAGCACTCAGGCATTTCTACTATGAAGCCATGGTTGTCAAAGGTCAGCTGTGGGGGAAGCAGGGAGTGGACCCAAATGCACTCAGGAGTCTGAATTTAAACCCAGAATCCAACTTTAATGCTGATAGTTCACTGGAATAAAAAACAAACTCAAAAAACTGAGGCAAAGTATCTTTCTGTATTGATGGTGCCTTTCCTCATGTCCAAGCAGCCAGTTCCATAGGTACTAATGCGCCTGTATACTGTCAGAGACGCAGACCTGTAACTGTTTGCTGATGACAAGATATAGTCCTTCTCTTTAGTCACAGCACCCAAATTTATTTTAGAAGAATTCAAAATTTTGATTTTTCTGACCACGGAACAGTTTTTTTCCTTAGTTCATTTTAAATGAAGTGGTGATTGTGGATCATACCACATCTCTACCACATCACATCTTCTCCTTGACATTATAGACCTTTATCCTTCATGCAAAGAAAACTGTGTTCACTGACCAAGCCCAGCAGCGATGACAGAATTAAGCCTGTTTCTAGTGTAGTGTCCCAAGCATCCAATTAATTCATTTTTCAGCCTTGTCACATGCACACAATGATTTCTCCAGATTTTCCAAATCTTTTGAAATTATTATGTACTGAAGGTGATGTGATATTCAAAGTCTTTGCAAATTTACATTGAAGAACATTATTGTGAAATTGTCAGAAACAGAAATTTCTGATAATTTGAAATACTTTGATATCCAGTCATGTTACCAATTAATCCAGTTAGTTGGAAAATCCATCTGTTTCTCTTTTTAGTACCACTTGTGTTTCCAATCTTATGTTGCCACCATCTTTTCTGAAATGTTTTTGTGGACATCAAATTCTAAATGAGCTGATATTTTTCTTAAAATGGTACATTTTCTCGTTTTAAACCTTTGATAGGATTTCTGTGCTCAATTATGAAAGAAAAGTGGGTTTATGAGATTACCATGTTGCTTTTATTTTATTTTTTTTAAGATGTAACCCCTTTAAAATGTGATGCGTTTGGAGAGACAGATTTTTAAAAGCTAGAATGCCCCAGGCTGCCACAACACTGGAGCCTTTGCTTCACACAAAGCAAAACAAGAGTAATATTTTGAACTTTAAAAACAAAACGTTCTTCTGGTTTGCAACACATGAAATGTAATGATATTGTTTGTAGTGCTTCTCGTGTTAAAATGAAAATGCTTGTTTTCAAATGTTCATTTCTTCCCAAATCATGAAAAACCTAAAGTCGACCAACTAATGGTGCTAAAAATATTTATTTCACCCCTGAGGAAAGGTCATTGGGTTGTAAAAACCAGACATGGCAGTTGTCAGCACATTTTTACTCTGCTTGTGTACAAAGTGGAAATCTTACCCTAAGAGAAAATTGTGGCCAGAGAAAGAGTCTTGGAGGCCATCGAAAAAAGATGTAGTCACTGAATTTCCACACCATGTTTCAAGGATGTGGCCAGAAGTTCAATGAAATGATTTTTGTTTTGAGGTTTTTTTGAAAGCAAACCGATTTTAGGCCTTAAAGTCTGTTTAAAGGTCCCAAACAGAATAAAGGTAGATAGAAATGTGTTACATCTCATAAAGCACCTCAAGTAGACTCACAGGAGTCAACATTGGGTGGATGTGAAAAGTTTGAAAAGTTAAAAGGAGTTCAAAACAAGCAATCTTCCCAGACCTCTGTTTTCCACGCTTTGTCTCTGGTTGAGGCTAGAGGGTTCAGACTCCAAATCTTCAGCCAAACTGTCACTGTCCATCCATTCATCCATCCATTTTCTACTACTTATTTGGGTCACAGGGCAGCAGTCTAAGCAGAGATGCCCAGACCTCCTTCTCTACAGCCACTGCCCTCAGCTCTTTCAGAATGAAACCACTACGTTCACAAACTAGCAGAGAGACAAGATCTCTTTACCACGTCCTTGGCCTGCCCCAGGGCTTTACCGACAGGCTACTGAGGAGCCCCAGCATCCTAGTCACACGCCAGAACTACTTAAACTACTTAAACATGTTGATTTGCAGGAGCAGTGGCTTTAGACACCCTGTGGAGGAAGCTAATTTCTCCTACTTGTGTCTGCAATTTTATTCTTTCTTAGTCCACTACCCACAGATCATGGCCATAGGTGAGGATAGGAATGTAGGTCTGTCTGACCTGTCTGTGAATCTTCAATTTCCCTCTCGTTCAACTTCCAGTGCTGCAGCAATTTATATCCATGCATTCATACAATTTCTTAACTGCTTATCCAGTTCAAGGTCACAGGGGGCTGGAGCCTCTTCCACTGCAAGAGCAGTCAGACTTTACCAACTGCTGCTGTGTGGGTTGCATTGTGGAGTAAAACACACATCATCTTTGGTTCTGCTGCATTTAATTTGATCTTTTCTTCTCTTCCAGGATCCTCAGTTACAATGAACTACGCTGTATCCCTCCTCTGGCACTGGGTGGCTTGCGCTCGCTTAGACTGCTGTGAGCACACACACACACACACGTGCTCACGCACATACACACACAGTATCATACTTGCGACATGCCAAACCACATCACTGTAACTTCTTCGCTTTATAATAAGCCATCATCTGTTTTAGGACTTTAAATGTCCCTCTGTTGTTGAGGTGAATGAGAGTTGCTGTCAGAGTCACTGCAGTCACTGAGTTTTCAGTTTAACTATTTATAACCTTTTCTGACCCGTAAGTGTATCTGTCTTCCAGCTCTCTCCATGGCAACGACATCTCTGAGCTGCAGGAGGGTATCTTCAGTGATGTGGTCTCCTTGTCTCACCTGTAAGTCTTTATAAATGCAGTCACACATCACACACAGGCTTACAGTACATACACAATGACAGCACCAACTGGCTGCAACAGTAGGAGAGTGGGGTCTGTCCTTACTGACAGAATGAGGTCTGTGTGTATGTGTGTGTGTGTCCATGTGTGCGTGCGTGTGTGTGTGTGTGTGTGTGTGTGAGAGAGAGAGAGATGCATGTTCATTTCCCTGCTTTTATGGTTCCACTCAGATAAAGTCCAGTTCCCAGAGAATGAGTGGTTTCAAGTGAAGTGGTTTGCTGCTGGATTTAATTAGCTGAAGAGATCCATTGCTTCCCATAGCTCTATTGATCTGAGGCCTGTGTGTGTGTGTGTGTGTGTGTGTGTGTGTGTGTGTGTGTGTGTGAGAGAGAGAGAGAGAGAGAGAGAGAGAGAGAGAGCATATACAGCATAATCATCTTCATGCAAGTATGACACGTGATGATCTACAGAGATAGAGATGGTGGATAGAGGGAAGAGAGGCAAAATGGAGATGGCTCGAGAAGGGCAAGATAAAGATAAAGAAGGAGAAGGAAGGAAAGAGAAGGATGATTAAATGTGAGCAAAAAGGATGTAAAATGAGGTGTGTGAGTGTGTGTGTGTGTGGGGGGGGGTATTTTGACTTCTGAAGCATGGCATCATCTCTGCAATAGGACCTTGCTGACTCCCAGTATGTAAAGAGAACAAATTGGGCTGTAAAGTGATCTCTCGTCACTTATTCCGCTGCAGAAACCGACTTTAGCTTTGCTCTGTGATGATTTCTTAATTTCTTGAGGTAGAGCCTGCATTTGAATCCTTTGTGAATTTGCAGCAGTGCGCTACCTGAAACATAATAGCTAACATTTTGCATTAAAAAACCCCCAGTAAGGTCTACAGAAAATTTTGAATTGCACCAATTCTGATTTTTCTCATTTTCTGTCATGGATAAGGTGGTGGTGATATGGTGTATTACCACTATATCACCATATATGGTGTAATGATAGATGCATAAATGGATTCTGTGGTGTCACTGAGAGCAGACAGCTCTGGCTGAGCAGAGGTCTCACTCACCTGCTGTTCAAACCCTCTGTTTGCAAGTTAGGGCCAATAGGGAGACAGTAGTTGCAGAGGGAGGGTGAGGAGAGCTTTAAACGCTACTTTTAGACAAAGGATGAACTGTGGGTCTGCACCAAGGCTCCATAAATGATAAATAAATGTTATTCATGATGCTAAGTTTAAGGTAATAAACTTTAATTTGGCCTTTGAGAACGCCTCTATTGTCTATTGGTTCTAGTACTCTACTGATGTGGTACTAGAACAATGCAGTCTTAACAAACAACATGAAGAACCCCCGTCACCCTAAAGATCCCCATAATGGGTCCAGGCTTTATCTAGTATTCAAGCACAAGTCACACGTTAATGCGTGTGACATTCTGAGTGAAGAAGCTTCCTATTTCAAAAACCAAAACCAAAATGGAAGCAGATTTTATTTTTCATTTCCATTTCATTGAATTTGGTTGAATTGCAGATTTTCTCTTACATTTTCAACTACATGAGTGTTACAGTTCCCTGCTGTAAGGGTGTTTAAATCTCACTGTGGGCTGGTAACACATTGTCTTCATTGTTTTTTAAGTGTTTCTGAGCCATAGAGTCCAAGAGATTTCGGGCTCACTGTGGCTTTACAATTGCAAAGCTGCTGCTAAACCTGAAGTCTTTTTTTTTTCCTGATGAAAATTTCAAAAACAAAAAAGCCCAGAGCTTAGGAGGTTAATCGACTGATAAGAATTGACTTTTCTCTCACATGACTTGAAATGCTCTGACCGTATTCTGTGTCATTGTGGGGACATTTTTGCATTGAGTATATAGTATTTGATCCCACATTTGTCTCCAATTATTTTATCAAGTGGACCACTCATATATGAATACATTTTTAGAATTTCACGAGCATGTCAGTATGTGTGACACTGTCTCTGTGTGAGCACTGAGGTCTGAGAGCTCCACCCTGTGGCTTTGAAAAATATTGCAGCACATTTTGTTAAAGGTCAACCCTCCTTCCTCTCTGATATCAGCGCATTCGTCCCTGTTTTCACTCATTTTAATCCCCTCTTTCTACGTCTTCTCTTCTGCTATATTCTCCTGATACTTTCATTCCCCGCTTCATAATCCTACTTTTTCTAAAGTTATTCATTGAGAGCGCTTGCAGTCACATGAAATAACAATGGCTGTTTTCTTTTCTTCACATGCATACACACAGTCAACAGACAAAAATCTAGTTCTCAGATTTCTATCCCAAGTAAGCTGTCATTATCACAGGAAGTTATCACGCCAGGCTCATTTCCTTTCTGGAATGTCTAAAAGCAAAATTACTCCAGATCTTACTGTGAGCTATGAAATGGCTTTAGCCTTATTTCTAAAATTTAAATCTATACAAAAGCAGGGTTCAGTATGGTTTTATTAAATCAAATCACACCACTTTTATTGTCACGTCACATCACTGGTACAGCACATGTGAGTGAGATCCTTGTATGCAAGTGTCACAAGCAACAGTGGTGTGCAAAAATACAAGAAACATAGGAAACAAGCCAGATGTAAGAGCAGGAATGTGAGAATTATAAGAATAAATATATGTACAATTATAAGGATGTACATGCACGTGTGTGTGTGTGTGTGTGTGTGTGTGTGTGTGTGTGTGTGTGTGTGTGTGTGTGTGTGTGTGTGTGTGTGTGTATACATCTATGCAAAATATACAGAGGTCAGCAGTTTGAGTATTGTGCAAAGAAATGGCACATATGTACAATATGGAGTGCATAGTGTTGAAGTGAGAGTGAATTATTAAAAGGATTTCAAACATATGACATCATTTTTTAAAACCTTAAAATGTTTATTGTTAGTTCTCAAACAAGTGAAACAGTTGTGTAATGCTGACAAAAAAAAAAACACTTGGTGAAACATGACACAGCTGGTTAGTAACAGATCAGCAAGGAGCAGGAGTATAAGAGCATCCCAGACAGGTAGAGTTACCTGCATTTGAAAAAGTCTTCACCAGTAAAGAGTGCCTGGGTCAATAGTTCAGCAGCGATTCTCACTGTGAAACTACAAAGAATTTAGAGATTTCATTCCCTACAGATCATAATATCATTAAAAGATTCAGAAAATCCAGAGAAATCCCCCCACACTAGAGACAAGGCGGAAACCAATTTTGAGTGGTCGTGATCTTCAGGCCCTTGGGTAGCCCTGCATTAAAAACAGACACAAGTCTGCAGAATGTGAATCAGTCTGTATTAGTTTACACACACATGGGCAGCCTAACATGGGGAGAGACTGTTACAACAAGCTACGATGGATAAATGTAAATATGAGCGGAAACAACTAGAATGTGAAAGCACTGTCAAATACATTCAGGCAGATCAAATTGTTCCAGCTGTGGAGTGTGTAAATGTCCACAATATTAAGTATTAAGAAAATATGCTTTAAGTAGGGAGAAGAGTCTGGGTAAAAATGTTAATATACTCCTCCCATGGGTTTGCCACAAATCCATCTGCATGCCTCAGGATCCTGAAGGTGCACAGGTCCTGGAGAAATGGCAGATTGCAGTCTGCCTTTGTCCTTGGCAGTGGCTTCAGAGTAACAGATGGTGATGGAGGAGGTGAAGATGGAGGTGTAGAAGTGTAACATCAGTGTCTTTGGCAGATTGAACTCTGTCAGCTGCCACAGGAAGTGTTGTCTATTGTGTTTTTTCTTTTCTGTTTTTGCAAAGGTATCATTAATGCTAAATGATAAATGTGCAGTTAGGAATAATACAAGCTGTAATCGAAGGTTATAGTCCTGGATCACCTTGGTTATCACATGTGGACATGAGGTTAATGTCAGGGAGGTGCCAAGGTGTATTCTGTATGCATTCCAGCAACATTGCTCCATTAAAAACATGTAAATAAATAAATAAATACTTTTTAAAATAAAGTATCAGTGCCTGCACTCAAGATCTGTCACCCATTTTGACATTCAGAGCATTAGAAAACAACAAAAAACCCAAACTGTGGAGCAGCTAAACTCCCAGCAAGAGTGAGGATAACGTTTCACTTTCATGTAGGAACTGGACTCCTCACCTACCAAGCACTTTAACAGAGGTATCAACAGAAGAGGTGATGCAATGCAGTGGTTAACTGGTTAAATCCAGCATTAGTATAGCGTTCCAACTGTTAGAAAAGGCGTGTAACTCTAAAACCTCATCGTTCTAACATCACTCTCCTTTTTTCTCTTCAAACCTTACCACTCAATCCAACTTTTGTAGTTTCTCTCTTGCCTCATTTTCTCTTTTCGTGCCTTCAGTGTACTCGCCTTCAGTGTACTCCCATCCTTCCTCCAAAACCTGTTTTCTGTCTCACTATCTCCATCAGTGAGCGGACTCTTCATCTGCTTATTTCTTCAGAGCAATTGGAGCCAACGCGCTGTACTGCGACTGCCGTCTGCTGTGGCTGTCAGAGTGGGTGAAGAGCGGCTATAAGGAGCCTGGTATCGCCCGCTGTGCTGGCCCCCGCGGCATGGAGGGCAAGCTGCTGCTCACCACGCCTGCCGACAAGTTCCAGTGTGTAGGTAAGCTGGCAGTGAAAAACATGCGCACCTTACAGCAGCTTTAGTTTTATGCATCTCATAAGACTTTGTAGCTGAATAAAATATTTTACTTGGTTTATAAAATTGCTCTTTCACCAAACTGGCTTAGCATTCAATCTAAAACTGTTCACATGAAACACTAATATAATTTGTTGTCTGTAGGGTGAATTGTAAAGAATACAGAGTTAATTGGCTATTTCCATCATATATGATTTTTGCCATTGAATTTGTATAATGATCAACGCCCACATACTGTTGCTTCGTAATAGATGATATTTAATGAAAGGTTTTCTTTTCTGTTTGACCTTCAGAGGGTGTTGACTGCTGTTACTCCCACACACTAACAGCTAAAGACACTATAGTGGATCGTGTCTTTGACTGTGAAGTTAAAGTATGCAGAAAATTGCTTTAATAAAAATGTGCTAAATTTTGCTGGCAAGCTGTTTGTTTTAGACTCACAGCCTTCACAAACACCAAATATTCAACAATGAGCAATAATAATTCAAAATTAAATTAGAGTTAAATTAAATTAGTAAAATCACAATTACAGTTTTAATTATTGTAGATTTTTTTAAAAAAAAGAATAATTATCATTTTTACTAAATGTAGTAAAAAATAAATGTTTTGCATCCGTATATATGTATAACAAAACGCAAACTTTTATTTCACTTTAAATAAAAGTCCAGAAACTCAGAATCACCAAACTAAATCCATTACCAACAGCAACCACAGGAGAAAACAACAGGTATAAATACACAGAAAACACACCGAGGGATAACAAGGGGAGTGGAAACAGCTGGGTAACAACAGGTGAAACTAATTAATGATAATGAAACCGGTAAAGTAAAATCAAATGCAAGGCTCAAGGGACATGAGACTGCCAAAATAAAATGGGAAATATAACAAGAGAGACTCTAACAAAGAAACAGGGAGACTACAACTAAAACCATAAGTAATCAGATCAGTTTAAAAAGGTATAAAAATGCATACAAATTAAAAAGTTGACAAATAGTTAAGTTAAAAATATCCATAATCAATATCAATTTTATTAACAAATGTTAATAAAAAGTAAAAAAAACAAAACAAATGCACATGACATCAAAAAATCTAAATTCAAAAAAGGAGTAGGAGTAAGCAAATCTATATTTAGCTCATCATACATACGTTTATCTCCTTTGATTAGACAATCTGATAATACTATAATAATATATACGCTGTAAAATATTGTCTATCTAAAACAGAGTCTTTATACAGTTCTCTATAATTATTTACCAACACCTATCCAAAAGTATTGCTTTCATATGTCACGTATGTGCTTATCCATATTTAATGTATAGTACAACCATATAAATATTACACTCTGTCCCATCCATTGGCCTTTTTATAAGAGTTGTTTGTATAATATTGAAACTTATTTATATTTCTGCATCTTTTCAACCTTCCTCCAAAGACTGCTAAACACATGCTCGTCATTGTTGTCAATGTTTGACACTGATGATTCACACATGTTTTAGTGTATTAAGAGTGTATTAGCCTGTAAATCTGAGTGTGTTTTGGCTGTGTTAGCCTGCCAGTCCTTTAAAGAGGACATGCCCTGAACTATAAGACATAACAATGATAAATCACATGTTATTTTAAGAGTATAGTATTGTCATAAAACAATTAACTGTACAAGCAAACTGTTTTGGTAGAAGCTGTAACTGGTCCATACTGAAGCTTGGTATTTTTACATAGTGATCCATGATGATTGAATCACTTTTGGAGCAAGCCTCAAGTGCAGGCTTAATAAGCTTTACCTAGGCACTGATGATTATTTACAATTCTAAATAATCATCAGTGCGTAGGCAAAGGGTCCGAAAAGATTACTGAGTTTTAGAATAGAGTTTGAAAAACAGGGACGTGTCTACATAGAGGGCACCGGGTGGCTGGGTGGATTTTTACACTGTGGTGTTGTTACTTTTATATAAGTAGAGAATGTAAAACCATCTTCCCGCCTTTATTCAGCTATAATACCATCAGTATTAGGACAAAGGGGAATACACAAGAGTCTGAAAAAATGTTAAGCCAATTCTCATTGCTTAGTGTATTTGTGATTTCCCATGGGGCATCCCTAACCTGTTCACATCAAAAAATCTTGAAGTCGCCCCTGGTGAAATAATCGTCTCACTGAAATTTGACAGCATTCGTCATTTTTAAATCCCTTCTATGCCTTCGTTGCCCTTTTAATGTCTATTTAATCTGTTTCTAGAGGTTTTGCCTATCTCTCTTTGCAATTTTATACTCTTTTTGTTTTTAATTTAATCTCCTTTCTTGGAGTATCTAATTTGTTTGCATTTGTCTTGCCTTCACTTTTTGTTGTTTATCTTTTAGAGCAGAAGCATACTAATACAAATATTAAAACAAGAATTTGTTAAGAAGGTGCATTTAATCATCATCAGCTGGTAATATCACTCAGATGGCTTTATTTGTTAATCAACATTTGACTTTTGAATGACTTGTAAAGCAGTGGATAGAGGTTAGGGATTCAGATTTCTCCTATGTTTTTCTCTAGCCTTTTTCTGCTTATCAAAAAAACAAAAAACAAAGCAAAACTACTGACTTAAAGTTGTGAAATAAAAGGCAACAAAGTTACTAAGAGGAACAGCAACTGCTGTAAACAAGAGTGCACGGAGTTAAAGTTTAATTTAAACATGGCACCGGCGAAAAGAAAAGAGGCCCCAACATCATCAAGCCCAGAGGTTTAATCGCACTCTCTTTCTGGTGTGAACATAGTGTGAATTTTCCTTCAGTGGCTTCCTATCAGACTTTGTGTGCATTAACACTTTAAATGATGTATTTCTAAAATACTATTGCACTGTAAAATTTATTGTGGCGGTTCACTCTAATTAATTATTTCTCACACCTTCTGTGAAGCCTTTTGCAAACAGGGTGGAGCTTCTCTTGTCATTGCACAGGAACAATTTTTCATTTCACTTCTTACGAGTCTTGCACATAGTAGGAAATGTCACTTCTGTAAAGAGTGCAAACAAGCAACCGTTTAATAATTTGTCACTTGTCATGCTGGCACACAACAGTAGGAGTATCCAAAATAATAAAGTAGATAGGCTTTTTTTTTGTATTATATTAATAAACAGTGGTTATTAATGCGTCTGTCACAGCTGTTAGTGGATCTATTTTGAACCCAATTAGTCACTGTGTCACAGCCTTATAATCCCAACAGGGTTCAAATAACACAAACCTGTTCTGCACCTCAAGTTTTGCAGCATTGCAGAATGATCACGTAGTCAGTCCAACCCAACCCTGTATCTCACATATGTGTAAAACTTGCTATAAATCAGATGCAGATACTCTGGCCTGTGTGCTCAAACCAGAGTCATGTCAACCAACACACCAGAATACAAATGTTCCTCAGGCTTTTGCCAAAGCAGAGCAGTTTAAATAAAATAAAAAATAAAAAAACAGACACAACATAATAGATGTTTTTCTTTAAAAAGAAATACATGTGTTTCATTCTGATTGATTCATCTAACAGCAAAATAATTCATTATAAATAAATGTATCCATTTACTGTGCACTGGACTGTGCACCAGAAATAATTATATCTGGAAATTAAAGAAAAATAAAACATAAATGTTTTGTTTCTAAATTTAGGATTGGTCATTGCGTCTTGCCTGTGATTGATACATTTGTGTATTTGTCATGTGTGCCTCACATGTGTGTTAAAATGACTTGTATAGATTTTACAGCTGTGTATGTTTGTGTAAAATAAGGTCCGGTGGAGTCATCTGTTCAGGCCAAATGTAGTCCGTGTGTGTCTTCCCCCTGCCAGAACCAGGGCATCTGCAAAGTCCACCACACACAACAGTACACCTGTGTCTGCAAGTCTGGCTTCACGGTATGCAACTATGTGTGTGTGTGTGTTGCTTGTTGCAGTTTGAGTTTGAGGTTGTATTGTTTTCTTAAGCTTTATCATCAAAATATGAGCTCTGGCAGTCCCACAGTAATATATTTACAGAGCTAGATCTGATGTTTAAAGCCACTGATCCAATATTTTATGTGTTCGTGTGTAGTCTGTGATTGTTTTGAGATCACATCTGTCTCTGATAATCCCATCCGGTTACTCAGCTTGGCCTGATCTGTTTGTCTATGCTCATCAAAAATATGCTGTCAATTCAGTTTGCATGCATGTGGTGTGTAGGGCAAACACTGCGAGACTCCAGTCGACGCCTGCGTCAGCAATCCCTGCACCAATGGAGGAACCTGCCTGAGTGATGAGCAGACTAGAGGATTCAGGTAACAAAAATTTGGTGAAAGTAGCAGAAAAAACCTCTTTACCAACCCCACCAACAGATTTGGTCTAGTGGATGGATGTGGCATCATGTTGCAGAATCAAGCCCACCTGCTAAGATTCAAACATTAGTATGCTAAAATATATACCATGCTAATAAACGTTTGATATTAGCGCGTTAATGCATGTAGCACATGGAAATATTTGAATTTGTCTAAATGTTTCGTCTTCATAGTCAAGTTTCTTCTTTTGTTCTTTTTTAAGCTGTGCATGTGCTTTTGGTTTCCATGGCACTTTTTGCGAGGTGAACGTGGACGATTGTGAGGACCATGGTTGTGAGAGTGGCGCCACCTGTGTCGACGGAGTTGGCAACTACACCTGCTTGTGCCCTCCAAACTACACGGGTACAAAAGCAGCATCTGAATATTTATTACATTTTACAAACTGTTCACTTAGAAAAATGCTGCATAGCTGATCCATCACAGTAACATATTGAGGATTCCTGTAACAGTCAAAGGAGCTTGCAAAGAAAAGCGTCTGGACTTCTTTAAGTTAACTTAAAGAAGTCCAGACGGAAAAAAGGACCTTTGTCAAAAGAAGCAATGCACCACGATGACCTGGATGACTGAGAACCTTCACAGACAGATTCCTGTAACACTTGTTTTAGGTCTGCTGTGTGAAGAAGAGGAAGGTGTTTGCTCTCCTGGTAGAAACCCCTGTCAGCATCAATCCACCTGCGTCAGCACTCCAAACGGCCCCAGGTGAAAATGCACACACACACACACACACACACACACACACACACACACACACACACACACACACAATTACTTCAGACTTGGCTAAGTTTGGGATCCCAGATGAGAGAGAAATTACAGACACATGCAGATAAACATATACAAAGTTAATTTTTTCTAATGTTTTAATTGACTTCCCCAAATCCTACACCATTTGTTAATTAGTATTTATGCATATTTGTGTGTGTTTGTGTTCCAGGTGTGTATGCATCCCAGGGTGGGTGGGGCCAGACTGCGGTATTGATTATAATGAGTGTGTGGATCATCGATGTCAGAATGGAGCCCAGTGTGTTGACCATCTGGATGGCTACAGTTGTGTTTGTCCGCAGGGATACAGGTGCTGGCAACCTTAAAAAACTATGAACTGTGCAGATACAAATCTAAGAAACTGGGTACTGTGAGTTTCCTTTATCATCATAAGACCATAGTGCTGGTTTGATTATCATGGTAGGAAGTGGGATCATTGTATTTCTTTGTATGTCATGTCTGATATCCTTTATTATGACCTCTTTTTCCTCCTCAGTGGTGAGTTTTGTGAGGTGGCCCTTCCTGCCCCGCTGCCCTGCCAGCTTGCTCAGTGTCAGAACGGTGCCCTCTGTGAGGAAAAGCTGGGAACTGCAGTGTGTCAGTGCCTGCCAGGCTTTGAGGGTCAGAACTGTGAGAAGCTGGTCAGCGTCAACTTTGTTGACAGGGATTCTTATGTTCAGCTTCAAGATGTCAAAAACTGGCCTCAAACGAACATCACGCTACAGGTGAGAACATGCCCACAAGTCCACACCTAGCGAGAGCACGTGTTAGGTGACAGACACGGAAGAGTGTCAGAAATCAATTTCAGCAGCAGCAAGTTCAGACACACACGCACACAGACCTTTATTGGTGTGTTTTTGTGCGTGTCTGTGCGTTAGGTGTCAACAGCAGAGGAAAATGGTATCTTGCTCTATAACGGGGACAATGAGCCAATCGCTGTGGAGCTCCATCAGGGTCATGTCAGGGTCACATATGACCCAGGGAACCAACCTGCCACTGCTATCTACAGGTAAACACACACACACACATACACACACAGTGGTCAGAAGGACCACCCGTCACCCATGGCTGATGGGTGGTCCTTCTGATTCTCATGAAAATGCTTAAATAGACATATTAGGGAAACATTTAGAAAAGCAGGATAATATATTCTAAGCACAGTGTCAGAGGTTAATCTCACACACAATTTCCTCACACAACACAATCGCAAAAATATTTCCAGAAACAAAATCAGTAGTATATTGTAGTATATCCGTAGTAATCAGGGGTATAACTTGAAATTAGATTAAATGTCTGTATAACTGGCATACTGAAAGACAGTTTCACAGTATTCTAAAGCTGCAATGTGCAGCATCCCTCATTTAGTGCTCAGTAGCAGTTCTGGATCTTAAGCAATGCCATTTTTGTTTTTTTAACTTGGCTGTCTGTCATTTCTATGGGTGCACGGACAATAGAGTAACCAGTGTTTGCATTTACCATTGCTGAACTTTGCTACAGCATATAAATCACCCAATGAACAACCTGAATAATGATCTTCTCGATGCTACTTGATTTCAGCTTGTTGGACAGACCGTGCCTGCAGGCCTTGGTGTTGCCTGACGCAGCTGGCTAGGGGGTGGGCATGGGGAAAAGAGGTGCTTTGCTGGCAGGCTTTCATCTCCATCCTGCCAAAAGCTTCAGCTGGTCTTTTGTTTGTTGTTGCAGTTTAATTCACTGACTCCTTCAGCATGAGTGAGAAGTGGTCAGAATCATAGACTGTCTATAGAAAAGAAGTTTACTAAGCACAGCTACTTCCTCTCAAATTGGACTAAGTGACTCACTGCCACATCTTGAGGTACAAAGTGATATCAGGTGACTGCACAGGCTGGTGCACGCTGGTTAACTTGGCAACGCATTACTTAAAGGTTTTTCATATCATGACTCTGAATTCTCCACACTGTGTTGAACAGTTTGATTCAGTGTTCTAAAACATCCATCTATTTTATCTAAATCCCCCTTTTGTATTACAGTCTCTCATTTGTAGCTGAACCACAGAAACACTTTCAAATGAAATATAAAGAGAGAATTTTATACTACAAATAATGTTTCCTTGAAGACATCCAGTTGATTCACCAGGCCAAAAGCTGCGTTTTATTAAATCTGGTGACACAGAGAGACCAACAATGAGGCAGTGCAAATCTGAAATAAATATCCTGTTTCTACGGTGTATTTTGACAAAGAAGACATTATCAGGCTGATTTTCTGGGAATGTGCAAGCTTGGGTTCATGCTGTGAACTAAGGACATAACACTTTACTAAAAACCAAGCATTCAATCAAGCACATCTAAGAATAACCATGGTATAGTTCTGAAAAATATGAATGACTCTCTTGGTAAGAAGGAGTCGTTCATATTTCATATTGCATCCCCAGTAAGAATGCTTAAACTTTATTCACTAGTTTACTAATCTCATATGTTAGCAGGAAAAATGGAACCAGACATTTGTTAAATTTAAAGGTAAAAAAATGTGGGTTTCAGTTGTTTTAATGCAGTAAAATAAACAATCAAATGCTTCATTTCTCCTAAAGACAGGAAGTAAATGTGCACTACATTTAGACTAAGCACTGAAGTTGTACCGTGTGAGGGTCATGATTGGCACCTGAATTTGACCAGCTCAACATGTTTAACATTACACTCAACCCTCTGATTCACGCCAACTGCTGCATGTTGATTACTGTATTCTGATCATCAGAAGTTCAAAAGCTGAGAGTTTGTTGAGCTGAATAATCCACTGGACTCCTGTCAGGCCCTCATCATCCTCTCAGCTCACTGTAGCTCAGCAACCACGCTCAGCGCTCGTTAGGTCTGTGTCGTTGCTCAGAGACAGTCCTGCTTTATTTGGGAATGTGGACACATGACATCAGCGCTGTGGGTTTTCTGATTTAATCACAGATTCAGCCAGAGGACACTTTATAGTTGAGAGTCCACTTGATCAGGTATCAAGTGCTTAAATGTTTGCATGGTTCAGTGTTAAGAAGGAGGAGGCACGGCCAGCTGGCAGCCTCCCGCACACACGTGCTTTGGGCAAATCTGTGTGATGTGCAGCTGCAGACGAGAGGGCTTTGGGACCAAGATGTAAAAAAAAGAAATGAACAGATAAAGACTTGAGAAGAGAAGAGCGATGAGAAAACTGGAAAAAAAATGTAACAAGTGACTAAAATTAGAGACAAAGAAAATGATATAGGTCATGTGACCCAGTGTTTGCGTTTCATTGTATTTTGTTTTCTATTCGTGTTCTGGTTTGAGTTAAGTTTACCTTATTAATCCACGCCTTTGTTAGCACTCGGCTGGATTACTGTAATGCACTTTATATAGGGATCAGTGCTTCGTACATTACTCATCTACAGAGGGTGCAAAATGCTGCAGCGCGTCTTTTAACTGGCACTGGAAAGTTTGCGCACATCTCCCCTATTTTAGCTTCACTTCACTGGCTGCCCATTTCTTTAAGGATTCATTTGAAAATTCTTTTATTTGCTTTTAAAGCCCTCCATGGCCTAGCCCCATCTTATCTTTCTGAGCTGCTACAGATTTATACACCCACCCGCTCTCTCAGGTCAGCTGATCGGCTATTCCTGAATGTACCCAGGACTGAGTGGAAACTTTTGCTGTAGCAGCTCCAAAACTGTGGAACGATCTGCCTTTAGAGATAAGACAGGCCTCTTCTCTGCCTGCATGATAGCAACCTTTCATGGCCATTATAAACTGACTGGCATGTTAGTCATCATCAATGTTCAGGGAATAGGCCCAGAGTTGTTGTTGATATTTTTTTAGTTGCTCTAGTAATCATCTTTGAGTTTAAAGCTCTTAACAGTCACCAGGTCGATTTTGGATTTGGTTAATATGCACAAATTATTACACAACTCTTTTCCTCTTTTTGAACATCCAAATGGAAAAGTCTTGAAGTTACTCGTCCAGCGAATGCAGGGACAGGCCCCACTTCCACGAGGCAAATGTTTAGTTTAGGGCACTGTACATTAGTTCACCAGCTTCTTGCATTAAAGGTTAGACTGATCATTAGTATCTAAAAGAGAAAGAAAGACAAGTTGTTATTCATTTGAATAATACCAGCAAAAATCAAAGTGGAAACAGTCACTGACAAAAAGACGTAGCTGCTCCACTGTCCTTCCGCTCAGTTACATTTTTACATAGTGCCTAAAACATAATGCAATGTTGTTGCCTCCTCCATAATAGCACAGAGACTGTCAACGATGGGCATTTCCACACGCTAGAGCTGGTGACCTTTAATCGGATGGTGAACCTGTCAGTGGATGGAGGAGAGCCAACAACACTGGACAGTCAGGGAGGAAGTCGTCCAGCAACAGGGGAGGCCCATCTGTATGTGGGAGGTAGGACCAGGGCTTCACACCTCAGTTCAGACATGAACCTTTGTATTCATGCTCCACAGTTTTGTGGAATATTCTGACATAACCAATTGATTTTCTGTCTGTCCAGGTATGCCTGAGGAAGTGATGCCAGCCTCTCTGGGTCTCTCCTCTCAGACCCTCAACACGTCAAGCTTCCACGGCTGCATCAGGAACCTTTATATCAACCACGAGCTGCAGGACTTCACTCGCAGCCACATGAAGCTGGGGGTGGTGCCGGGCTGCAAAGCCTGTCGCAAACTCTACTGCCTGCACGGCATCTGCCAACCCAACGGTCCACAGGTAGCAACACACTGTCAGCAGTGAAACCTCTTGCAAATGTAATAATGGCATAGATGTTAAATTAAAGCATATTTTTTACATAAATTAGGAGACAAACATGTAATTTACAAAGAATGTTGTCAAAGTGTCACAGTGTGATTATGATTTAATTTAGCTCTAGTTTCCAGATCACTTTTAAATTTCCTGTTTTCCTGAATGAATGAATGGTAGCTCAGTGCTTTTGGGTGTAATCAAGCTATTACTGAGCTAATATAAATTAGGTTATACACACAGTTTTTTATTTGTCCTGTCTTCCTCCCATTATCCCCAACGAGTTGCTGCAGATGGCTGCCCCTCCCTGAACTGTGAAGGGAGTTTTTCCTTCCCACGGTTGCCAAGTCCTTGTTTGTAGGAGGTTGTTTAATCATTGGAGTTTTCTCTGTGTTATTGTAGGGTCTCTACCTTACAATATAAAAGGCCTTGAGGCAACTGTGGTTCTGATGTGATTCTGTATGAATAAAATTGTGTTGAACTGAACATAGTATATTAAAGAACTGGAGTTTCGTAGAAAATGAGTAAAGCACAGATGTCTTCTCTCTCACAGGGCCCTCAGTGCCACTGCCAGCAAGGTTGGACAGGACAACACTGTGACCAGCCAGTAACAGGAGGTCTTACTAGAGTGGATGTTGTCACTCTAGCAGCTGGTGCCAACCCCTGTGAAGGCAGCAAGTGAGCAGCACTTATCGTGGCATGTTACATGCTTAGTACAGGACGTGTGCTTCCAAATGTCTTCACCCATTACTCAAAGTGGTTTTTGTAACATTTATAAAATCCTTTTTTAATACTGATTCTTTTCCTCATCTGCTTCTTTTAATTCCAGGTGTGTGAAGGGTGTGTGCGTGGTGCTGGATGCAGAAACATACCGCTGTGACTGCGAGGAGGGATATTACGGTGCACTGTGTAACCTCCAGAAGGAGCCCACGGGCTCATGCCGGGGTCTGAAGTGTCTGCATGGCCAGTGTCAGACAACGGAGGATGGAGAAAGGTGCATCTGTGAGCAGGGGTACACTGGAGAGAGCTGTGATATAGGTGAGTCAGGATGAGCAGTCGGTATTTGAAATTGTTACAGGGTGCTGAGAGGTTTATGTATTTAAGAAAATAATGCCAGCCTTTAAAACATGTATCATGATTTCATGGGTATTAAATTATACTCTACTTGATATTTTAAAAGTTAAGTTTTTACTTATTACTAAATGAATAACATAGTGTAATCGCTCACACGTCAAACTACCATAAACTGTGTTTATGGTCTCAGATGGTAGTTTCTGTGCAGTAGAAAGATGGTAGTTTCTTTTAATCAAAGACAGATGAGTTAAACACTATGAAACACTAAAAAAATGATTTCTGTTAATAGTTAGTTTGGCCACTCTTCAGTTTTTTGCATTTTTCATTTTTTATTTGTGTCTCACACTTTAAGAAAAAGTTCAAATTTAAAAGTTTGATCACGCAAAAGGTCAAATATTTTTCATCTTTACCTTATGGAAACACAGTTGGACCCTCTTTTATCCATCTGCCTGTGCTACCTCCCACAGAGTCCCCATGTCGAGGCGAGCCAGTCAGGGATTACCACCGGCTGCAGCGTGGCACCATCCTCTGCCAGACGTCAAAACCTTTTTCCTGGGTTGAATGTCAAGGTCGCTGCCAAACGACAGCGAAGCCGGACATCAGCGCCGCCTCCTGCTGCGCTCCTCTGAGGGTGCGACGGCGGCGGCTCACCTTCGAATGCGACGACGGCACCTCGTTTACGCAGGACGTGGAGAAGCCTGTGGAATGTGGCTGCAAGGAGTGTGTGTAGTACCAGTGGTGCACACACGCACACATCCAGACACATAGTTTCAATCACAGCAGACACACACCAAGCTAAACAGGTACACACACTGTAGGATTTGTCTCATTGAAAAACAGACATTTTTTGGTGTTTTGTGCTCAGACGCAGTTTTGTAACATAAGACACTTCTTCCCTTTCGAGACATGAAATCAACGAGTCGACCTCATCATCATCAACTTCCTTTTCTTCACCTGCTGTAGGAGAACCTTCTCTAACTACCAAACTCCAGCTCATTAGTCATACTTGTATGGTGAGAAGCCTCTGTATGCCTTCTCTTTGTTACCCCTAAAATCGCAACAGCAAACGGTGATTTGTTGGAGGAAGTAAAGGCGCTAATTATTTCAGGACCCATTTACAATAAAGAAGCTTTGACATTCAAAATTGATGAGAGAATTACTCCATTTTTTCATCAATGCAAAACATCTACCAAACCAGATTTAATTATCTTACAATATCACGTTCAACAGTGTTGTTACAGAACTTTATACGATGATCTACTACTGAAATTCTCAACCTGCCATCAAGCATAAACTCAGAAAAATGCTCAGTTATTTCTTCACTAAAGCTCAGTCTTCTGTCATATCAATCTGTTTCCTTTCAAAGTAGTCTCAATTTAGGAAAATAAGCACAAATTTGACCTTTTTATGGTCAAGTGCAGTTATTTAATTTATATGTAAGAGCTGTGCAAATTTCCACTTCAGTCTGGCATCTAAATTTATAAAACTATCCAACGTCAATGATCTGAATAATATCACCTATAACAATTGATTGACAGGATCACTAGACACTTTATAGCAAAAGCTTTTTAAAAAATACTAAATAACACTAATGCTAATAAAACAGGCGTTTATTTGTGGCTTTGGATATATAACTCTATAGTGCTTCTCTTTCTGTTATAATAAACCAATCATATATTGGTCTTCAGATTTATCTTGTCAAGGAAATTTTTTTGAAATACTGCACAATACTAACATTCTCATTTCACAAAATTACATTTCACAAAAAATTAAGATTAATCACAACACGTTTCTATGTCGAATTCAAGAACAAAAAACAAACACACTATATATATATATATATATAT